TTACAAACCCCCGCTTGGCCCTAGCTGTACCTCCTCAAAGCATCAAATGCCTTCAAGGCACATCTGCTGTGGTTTCAAGTTCTCCCAGGTAACCTGGCCTTTGAACGTTTTGTGGCTTTCCATGTAGATAGTCTCTGTCCCATTGATCACATCAGTTCTTCTATCATTAATGTAGCCAATTTACTATATTAAATTTCTCCACATCATTACCCAGGACAGTATAAACAAGTTCCTGATTGATTCATATACATGCTACCGAGAGTTTTAAATTTTGTTTTTGACATTTATATCCTTGATCTTTCTAGTGTTAATCTTTATCTAATTTCATATTTCCATCCATGGGAATACAATATTTTTTCCTAGCTCCATTTATTAAATAGTTTGGACTCTCCCCTGCACTGGCATACCACCACTGTCCATATACCAAACCATATAAACACACAATCTCTTCTGAGCTCTCTGTCCTATTTAATCAATTTGAGGTTCAATGCCAGTGCCTGTATTGAAATATTTTAATTCCTGGAGTGTCTAATAAGTTCTGCAAGCTTGTTGGCAATCCTCCCCTTATTTTTAGTAAAAGTGTCCTTGATATTATAGGCCCTATACACTTCCATATAATTTTACAACAAGGTCTTGGAAATTTTATCAAGTTCTTGGAAAACATTGTTGGAATTTATATTGGAATTACATTGAGTTCATAGATCAAATTAGGAAGAAATGATATCATTGAGATATTAAGTCCCCCATCCATAAAAGTATATACTTCTCCATTTATTTAGGTCTTTAATGTCTCTTTTGAAAATAGGGTATTTTGTCATTTTACCTTTTTTAATATTTTTAGAAAGTTTGTATTTTTAACTGTTAGTTATGGTCCTCATCGTGTCATTTAAGAGCTTTGTTCTCCTCTTTCTTTAGACAATCTCTTCTGCTTTTTAGTCCGAGCAACAATAACAGCACTATATATTCCTCCTTCCCACCTCCCTACTCTTTCAGCCACCACCAGTTTTAATCAGCACATTTCCAGCTCTTGGTGCATATTTTGGTGCAGTCAACTAAGTTTATGCATAAACAGTTTATCTTCTATTTTTATTTGTAGGGGGCTAAATAGCATCCCTTGGAAAGTCTATCCAGAACCTCAGAATGTGACCTTACTTGGAAAAAGGTTTTTGCAGATGTAATGAGTTAAATTAAGATTAGTTAAATTAAATTACAGTGGATCCTAAATCCAGTGGCTGGTGTCTTTGTTAAGAAAGGACACACAGAGACAGACAGAGGCAGAGATTGGGATGGGTATAGGCCAAGGAGCCGGGAGAACTGCCCAGAGCCACAAGAAGCTGGGAAGAAGCCAAGAAAGCGTCTTCCCTGCAGCCTTCAGAGACAGCCTTGCCCCTGACATCTTGATCTCTGACTGCTCGTCTCCAGAACTGAGAGATCACACATTTCTAGGGTTTGTAGTGATTTGTTCTGAAGCCGTAGGAAACGTATTGTTGTTCTCTCAGGATACACATTCATTTCAGTAATTGACCTCCAGTATGTCTTCAATTCTTTGCTACCTTGAGTTGCTACAATGACTATCTCCTATGAAGCCCCCATGTGGAACTAACTGAGCTGGAATTTCACTGAGGAATATTCCTAATAGTGGGATTTCCACAACTAAAAGGCTATGCAAAAATAAGAACTCATTTAATGCCAACGCTGGGAAATCTAAGATATAGATTTTGAGAGTAAGCTCTTACTTGTACTCCATGTAGAAATTCATACATAACACCTGCGATTCTTACTGTGGCAAACCGAAAAAGAGGCAGTACATCTAACTCAGAGTGATCCGAGAAAATGTCCCAGGGGAAGGTGACCTTTGAGGCAAATCTAAAATAAGAAATAAACTTGAAGCGAAGAAGGAGGAAAGTTATTTTGGGGGTGGGGGGAAGGCTTTTTGAAAATGTTTAATGCATTTCTTGCTATTAAGGAACATTTCTTTGCTATGAGTGATAAAACCATATGCAGCAATGTCTAATCTTTGGTGGGCTGTCGTTTTTAGATTTTCGAAGTCACATTGGGAAATCTGTTTTATAGAATCTTGTAACAGATGACTCTTGTAGAGATGGGTGAATGTCCCAGGAATTCCGTGCACAGGAAAGAAAGGCCAGGACCCACCGTGTGAATCCTCTGTAATCAAGACTTTGCAAACGGGAGCACGTCCTCCTCGTTAGTATAGTGGTGAGTATCCCCGCCTGTCACGCGGGAGACCGGGGTTCGATTCCCCGACGGGGAGAGAGCGGCCGCGCCTTTTGCCTCTGCCCTTTTCAGAGTTACAAACTTTCCCGGGGTGGCTCCCTGGAAACGAGGTCTTCCTGCTCGGATTCCATCTCCAGTTTTAAGGCGAATTCCCGCGCGTTGGTTTACCGCCGGCCTTGGCAGGGCATCCGCGGCCGCTTTCCCGCTCGGGTTCAAACTGCGCCCTGGAAACTGTGCGGGATGTTGCGCCGGGAACCGATCTGCAGACTGTCGGGGGTGCGCGGGGCGGGGGGCGTGTCTCCCCGCGGCGGTGTGTCCAGGCGCTGCAGCCGGGCGGGGCTGCGGGAGGACGTGCTTGCGGCCGGCAGGGACGGACACCTGCCGGGACAGGTAAGGAGACCGAGGGCGGTGCCCTGGAGCCCCCGGGGCGCGGGACGCGGCGCATTGGGCAGGGCGGGCGCTCGGGGACCGAGCAGGGTGGAGGCGAAGGGGCGGGAGCAAGAAGAAACCTCGGGAGGTCGCGCACCGTTGAATGGCAGGTGTGTCAGTCGTGGGACTTGAACCCCTGACTCCCTGCAGCCAGAACGCCGCCCGCAGAGACAACCCGGCTCTACGATTTCCCCCTATCGTTGCGGTCAAAGCTCTAGGCAATATTGATCAAAATCGCTTTCAGGAAAGATAGAGTTTTTAAAAAGTCTGCACGATGTAGCCATTCAGATTTGCCTCCGAACTGAAGCGGCGGGAAAGGACGAGCTTCGGTAGAGCTGACAAGAAAATGAAGCAGCTCAACCTGTTTTTTGGGAAAGTAGCGGAAACCGTAAGCACCTTGAATCAAGGATAGCTGTGTTTGAATTGAGGCTGCATCGCTTACATAGTGGGTGACGTCTTAGGGTGCTGTGCCCCCCAGTCCCCTCTCTGCACCTGTACATTTAGGATAACAACGTCTACCCCAAGAGTCTTCAGGAGATATTAATAAATGAGTCATTAATGGGAACTGGTTAGCAATCTATAGGACAATAATACTTGAAATTATCTTTTTTTGTTGGGCAACATTTACTTGAATTGCTGTGGACAAATATCATTTGCATTGCTATCAATTATCTACAAGTCAACTTGTACCATACAAAACTCAAGAATAGTTTAGTAAAAAGGAATTCAGTTAAAGGTGCACACTCAGAACCAAATAATTTCCAAAAGCCTATCAGACAATGTCCAAAACTTCCCTGAAAGGACACCCAATACTTTTCTCTTGTCCATTTCCAAAACTTTGACAATTTTTTTTGACACAGGTGAACCTTGACATAAGTTGTTATATAGTGTTTCAAACTGAGTAAACATGGAAGTATTAGCAGAGACAGGTGTTGTAAGCCAGTATTTCTCCCACTTTAAGCGCTTCGGGATTACCTGGGTATTTTGTCAAATGCACATTCTCCCCTAGTAGATACAGTGTGTGTCTGGACATTCTGTATTTCTAGCAAGATCTCCAGTTATGGAGATGTTGGTGGTACAGGAACCAACCACCCTTGGGAAAACTCTCAATGTACATTAGAATGTTGCTGTACATTAGAATCACCTAGAAGCTTCTAAAATCCCTGATGGAGGGTGGCACCCAAGCCAATTAAAGTAGAATGTCTGGAGGTGGGAGCCAGCCTCCAATAGGTGTTGGAAATTCCCAGGTGATCTCAGTGGGCCTCAAAGTTTGGGAGCCATTAGTCATTTCTCTGTCATTGGTTATTCTGATTATGTTACTAACATATTCAAATGTTTATTGTATTTAATATAAAATCTAAACTATTTGTATGGCATTTTTAAAAAACCCCTAGTTATCTAGCCTAGATCGTCATGTACCTATCTACCCATCATATAACAACAAAAGTAACTTCGTGTTTCTCCTCCAAATCATAGAGTCACCACAGAATGCCAAAGGTGCAGCGGGGATAACGTGTTTTAATTCTGCTCCACTTTGCCTTTAGAGACTTTAGGTGGCAGATGAGGGATAACAGAGAGGGAAGCAAAGAAGAGAGAAGAGGGGGAAAGGAGGAGAGGGGACTGGGGAACGGTAGAGAGAAGGAAGGAGGGGAAAATGAGCAGAGGAAACACCTACTGAAAAGTGAGAAGTGGGTTCTGAGGGAAACGGTCTTTTCCAGTTGAAGAAGGCCTCTGAAGTGTGCACCACATCCCCTTTTTTTTCTGACTCTAAACAACCTGCAAAATCCCAATTATGAAAGTGCAGGGAAAACTCCAAAGGGGGAAACAGACTCATATGCCCTGCTTTGTAATTTTGACCTTCAGCTCTCTCTCCCTATCTTTCACCTTCCTGAATAATTAAATGAGCTCCAGTCATTGGACTCATCTCTCCTCAGATTCATAAAGGAACCTCATGTCCTGCTCTTCGTGCCCTGTAAGAATAATGATGTCCCTGGGCCCCTGCTCTGCCCACCTACCCGCTTTCTGCAATCCCCGACTGACGCCAGTGAAAACACTCCGAAATGGAACCTGCTCTTGTTTGAGCTCAACTTTTCTCCTTCATTTCCCATGCAATTGTGTGCATAAATCCTCCGTTTAGCAAATGTACAATGTGGAGGTTAAATGATCTGCTCAGTGATAAAGGCTCTGGCACCAGTCCGAGACCCTAGGTAATTGATCCACACTTTTGGGAGATGTTGAAGCTGTAGATTCCTTCAGCTCATCTAGGAGATCTCATCCTTTCACTGACTGAGTTAAGTACTGAAGGGCAGGCCAGAAATTCGATCCGGAGAACAGCAAACTTTTGATCTTTTAATATGTGTTTCTGTTTGAGGAGCTATTTGACATTTTTACGTCAGGCACATCTAGATACAGAGGATTCTGCTGCTCTGTCTGGTGGAGGATTTCTGAGGTCCATTTTAAGGCAGGGGAAAACCCCCACAACTTTTCAGACATGGTGTTCTTCTCCTGCAGATATATGACAGTGGAAATGAAGAAAACAATGATGAGGCAGAGGCAATCTTGCTTTGCACACACAGTACCCACCAGGTGAAAACCTTGACTTTTTGTCCAAAGTGCAGTTAAAATCTTACAAAAATCTATATAGTACTGGACACAGAACAAATGCAAAGAACCTCGTTTCAAGAGCTTTTACAGCATATTTAAATCTCAGAAGGAGAGTAGCTTTTTCTTTTTACGATTTTATTTTTAAGTAATCGCTACACCCAACGTGGGACTCGAATTCACAACCCTAAGATCCAGAGTCACAGGCTGTACCGACTGAGCCAGCCAGGCGCCCCAAGAAGGGTAGCTATTTAATGAACACACAAGGTGGATGGCGAACACAATCTCAAAATGTGTTTGGATTTTTGTTTACCAACTACGTTTTGCAGAGTGGGCAAGACTTGTGTACTACCATCAGGTGAAAGAGCTGGGGAACCCCAGAAATCACCGCTCTCAGTTTATGTTCTAGTAGGATCTAATCAAACTGCACCCCACCTTCCAGGGAGTCACCCCCACAGAATGACAGGGAATTTTTAAAGGGCAGAATTCATAGTAATTCTGTGACAAGTTTTTTATTGTTCTTGTCTTTCTTTCTATCACCCACAATTCCAAATTCCCTTGCAAAGTCTAGGACCTGTTTAGTTTGTTCTTAGAAGGTATAATTACATGAGGCTAAGATTAGGCCTGAAAGTCTGTAAAGAAGTTGAGTTCATTTGGGCGACATGTAGGGTCCCTCTTCCGCACGTGGCTGAACTAAAATGTACACATGATGCCTGAACAGGGACTTGAACCCTGGACCCTCAGATTAAAAGTCTGATGCTCTACCAACTGAGCTACCCAGGCTCTTAGTGAAAGTGGTTAATTTATTTTATAAATAACTAAATTCCATAAAACAATCTGGATTACCAGGAAGGGCTGGAGTGATCCAAGGTTTCAGGAACTTCGAGGACCTTCCAAAAGTGTGGCTCCATTACCCGGGTCATCGAATTCTTAAGCAGATCATGTAACGGCCACACTGTACATTCATCCAACAGCCGGTTCATGCGCACAACTACCGGGAGAACGAAGAGTCTTCCTAGAGTCAGCCATTGCCGAAGGTGATTCGCGAGTTTGGGCAGAAGGACCCTCGGGGACAGTATTTAATCCGCAGATGTTTGAAGAGCCGAGGCTCAGGCTCCCTCACCAACCCGTGGGGGAAACCGGGACGAGGTGACCACTTTTAGGAACGATTGTGGAGTAATCGAGGAGCATCTTCAAGAGAATGAAAGAGAAGATGGAGACAGGAGAGGAAGGTTATAACCTTGACACGGGCCGGGGAATTAAGTCCGGTTGTCCCCTTCGGTATTTTCCCGGTGGTTTCAGAAATGGGATGTCTGGGTTCCTTAGGGCTGCGGGGGGAAATGCAAGGCCGCCTCTAGCTTTGTCCTCCACGTTTCATCGTGAGCCCCAACTCGTTCCAAGACACGAATGGCCGGCAGTTGAGGAAATAGTGCTCGTGGTTGATGAAACATTTTTTGAGCACCTGTAGAGAGAGAGCCTGGGGACAAAATCCTACCCCAAAGGCGGCCGCGGCGCCCACTTCCTGGGGGAGCTGTACCCGCCCTGCCCTGTCTAACCCAGGACTACTTACTTGTGAGCCAGTCATTATTTTATCATTTAAGACGTTCTTCATTGGTTTTTCTATTCATGAAGACAAATGCAGTTCTGACCAAATGCGAAGAAAATAATGCATAAACTTCATGCGGTACCCACGATGCCCCCTACCACGAAATAATGTGCAAGTGTTATTTTATTACGTAAATTACACAGAATCTCAGGAATTACAAACGCTGTGACAAACATAAACCCGGGGGAGAAAACATTTAGTCATTTGGACTTAACCTAAAACATAAACCAGCCCGCCAGCTTCCTCTTGCAAGGGCAGTTCCAGTACTTTCGACCGGTTGGTTAGAGGGGCGTGTAAGCCCCTCCCCCTCCCTCCTTGCCTGTGTGCGCTCCGCACCTCACAGCCCCGCTCGCGCTCTGCGCGCCTCCCCCGGCGCCACCGCGTCAGCCCCGGGCTTCCCGCAGACCGGCTCGCTCGCCCCCGCGCGGGGCCGAGCGCAGCTCAGAGCGCGCAGGGGGCCGCGGGTGCTCGCGGCCGAGCCGGGCTCCCCCGAGCGGCGGATCACGGCACCGAAGTGCAGCGCGCTCGGCGCCGGTGCGTCAGGATGGCCGAGGGGTCTAAGGCGCCAGACTCAAGCTCTCGCTTCCCGCGCTCGGGGTTTCTGGTCTCCGCATGGAGGCGTGGGTTCGAATCCCACTTCTGACACGCTGGTGTTTTTATCTTTGCCGTGTCCAAATTCTGCAACTTTTTAAAATTAAATCACAACTTCCTTTTTAGGCAGCAACACCGAAGCTTATCCTTCCTCCCTTTTACTACCCGCACTTCACCTTTCTCAAGCCGGTGCTGGTTAGTTGTCTTTCTCCTTTGCCTGCCCTCCCTCCCTCCTTTCTCTCTTCCTTCGGTATTTGTGATGTTCATAAAAGTCTATACGGAATAGCAGCAATGTGTCAGTATTAAAATGTAGGTCTTACAATAGAGATGAGGTGAGGGTTCTAAGTTCCTGTTTCCAGCATTTAACCTGTTCTGTGAGAATCAGGGGCAGGTGTTTCGAGCATTCTCCCGCCCTCCTCCTGCGTGTGCCTCCCTCTCCATTGTCCTGCCTGGTCCTCTTTTTTTTTTTTTTTTTTTCTACCGACCTCCCTCTTCCCCTTCCTGCGCACCTTCTCCCCAACACTTCTCTCTGCCAGCCTGAGGGCGTGGGCTGTGGAGTGAAGAGTTTGGATGTGATCTATTCTGTGTCACGAACTCGTCGAGAGGCAAAAGGGTTAGAACAGTGGTTCTCAACCGGGGGTGATTTTGCACCCCGTCCTACCCTCCATGGACACTTGGCAATGTCTGGAGACACATCTGATTCTGTATTTGTGTCTATTTAAATGCGTGCATCTAGAGATGTAGTAAGATTCATTTAAAAAACAGTGTGCTAATGATTTAAAAAGTCTGAGACAGTCGTTTTTAATTAATTTATTTACAGGAAAATGACATACAAATCCTGATATGAAAATATGTGCAAAAGAGCAAAATTAGAAATGTTTTTCTGCAAAATTACCAAGTTATTTGTGCCAAGTTAACCAAAGTTCTTTTTAATTGCCCAAATATTCTGTTACCTCTTTGTCCTCCTGGTATATTTTTAAACAATTTTGAGAAAATTTACTTATTTTTAAGTTTCTGATAATCACTGTTATTACTGCTGTGGTTTTTACATGTTATCTATTTAACATGCCTTGTTTTTACAAAATTCTGGCTTGTGTTCATGATTTGTCTCTCATGACAATTCATCTTGACTTGATTTTCCCAAGTATAGGCTCTAAATTCAGAATAGTAAAAACCACGAAGATGTCTTTTACACCAGAATTCTTTAAGTTTCCTAGAATGGCTTCCAAATAACACAAAGATTTGTTCTTCCACTTTATAAAAAGGAAGAATAATAGAAATAATTAGGTTGGCTTTGATATTTTTCAGACTTTAACTCAGAAATGTTGTGAGAGTTATTTTATTTACCAAGTTTAGGATTAAAAAAAAGACTGAAACTCAAAAGAGAACAATCTTCCTAGGTTAATTACGTATAAACATATTAGTTTGCTAGGATTGCTGTAACAAAGCAAACTGGGTGGCTTATGAACAGAAGTTTATTTCACAGTTCTGGAGGCTTCCAAAATCAAGATGTTGGCAGGGTTGGTTCCTTCTGTGGGCTGTGAGGGAAAGATCTGTTCCAGATTTTCCTCCTTGGCTCGTAGATACCATGAGAATAACATGATTATTTCTCTCTATCTCTTCATATTATCTTCCCTCTATGCATATATGTCTGTGTGTCCAAATTTCCCCCTTTCAAACAGACACCAGTCGTATTGGATTAGGGGTCATCCTAATGACCTGATCTTAACCTAATTAATTACACCTGCAAGGAAAGACCCTATTTCCAAATAAGGCCACATTCTGAGGTACTGGAGATTAGGACTCCAACATATGAATGGGGGAGCACAATTCAATTCATAACAATAAAATAAAATAAATTAATATAAATACATTTCAATGATCTTTTACTTCTCAGCTTACAGAAAACATATTCATGTTCAGGCATAAAGATAGGTGTAAAAATTGTCTATAAAGTGATGGTCAATCAAGGACAATCATAGTATACTTTATGATGTAAAACAGAGCTCCTGGAGATTTGCCAACATCCTCAGTGTTTATGGTATGTTTCTACTCACAGGATAATCTTTAACTCCACAAATGATTTGTTATACTACCAGAAGGGACCCCTCTGTCTTCCAATCTGCTAGTGCTGATTAACTTAATACACTAGCTGGAGCTAAGGTCTTACTACTTACTACGCCAAAGATAAGTTGACTACAATCTTAAATGAGGATTGGTAAGAAAGTATTAAAGGTAAAGCCAAGGATGTTTCTGATGCTTATCCGACCTGCCTACACTGTAATCCCCTCAAAACTGTAAAGACATGAGAGTCAAGCCTCAACACCCCTTCTTTACACATTCTAAAATTAATTTGATACCATTGTAACCAAACACAGATATAAAAATATTTACAAAAACAGTGTATATAAAAATGTGTATTTGTGCATATAAAATGTTTACAAAATGCATATAAGACAATTTTCATATGGATCAAAGCATTCTCTTGTTGAAAAGCCCAGTTTTAGCCGTAGCAAAACTGACTCACCCTCCCCACCTGGTGAAAACTGCATTACTTATTTAGTGATGTATACTCTATTACCCAGAATTGTTACTAAAAAGCTTCGTGGGATATTAATGCTTACTCAAATTCTCCATTGCCCACATCTTCTTTGTTCTTCGGGTAAGACAGAAAGAAAAAATGAAAATATCAAATATAAGCTTGCCAAACTTTCAGAAATTCTTAAATTTTCTTAGCCTACAGTATTAATTTTGGCCCTAATAACAGTGAGATAAACTCCTCTGGGAGTCCATTGACTTTCTACCTACGAATCAATGACTAAATACCATGAATCTGGGAATGTTGCCTCCAGTCCCAGTCTCCACCTTCTTACAGGGTATCACAGCTAAATATCACAAGAGATGTACATAGAACATGGTCTCATATTCAGCAGGTACCAGAAATATTTCTACAACATCCTCTGAAATACCTCATCATGTTTAAATCCCATCTTGAAATCAAGAAACTGTCACATTGGAAAAAGGAGAAGATCCAATCGTTGGCTGTTTATAAAATATGCATTTTAAATGAAAGACGCTGAGAAGCTTGGAGGCAGTATCAATGACGTGTGCTAGGCAATGTAGCAAGTGATTGGTTTCACCAAGTCCCATCTACAATAACGTTTTTTATTTTATTGTTTTTTAACTTCTGATCTTGTAAGTTTATCAGTGATTATTTATTTATTTACTTATTTAGAGAGGATCTACCTTGAATATTTGCATTCCCTCACACACAGTCAGACTGCTACACATCAGAGCCAAACCAGGGTTGGACTGCTTCTCGTCAGTTGGACCTTTGTTTAGTTATCTAACTATAATTTTGTATGAAATGTACTATCATGCCTCCAAACACAAAAATGATACAATTGAAAGTCAAGATTGTAAGCAGTGACTATATTTCTTTCACTATAGTAAATTTCAGTTCCTATATATTTAAAATGTAAATTAGAGATTAGCATATAGTAGATGCTCCTCAAAAGTTTTTTAGTGGCACCTCGGTGGCTCAGTTGGTTAAGTGTCTGTCTTCAACTCAGGTCATGATCTCAGGGTCCTGGGATCGAGCCCTGCATTGGGGGGGGATGCTCAGCAGGGAACCTGCCTCTCTCTCTACCTCTGCCCCTCTCCCCTGCTCTTGCTGTCTCTCTCAAAATGAATAAATAAAAAATCTTTTTTAAAAAGGTTTTAAAGATTTGATACATTTACATAGTATAATATGATTGCTAT